ACACAGTACAGTGTAGTGTATTTGGAGACATGTTGGAAGAGAAATTTCATGGGGGATATACCACAGATTTGAAAGCAAAAGTCTCAGTTATAAAAATACAAGGTAATTTTAAATTCAATGCAACTGCAGAGGAAGAACCCAAAGTAGCCTGAAATGCTTATTTAGTTTGGATGTGAAATAATAGAAACCAAACTTTAAAAGAAAAATAATTAAGAATCCCCATAATTGCACGCACGCACAGAAAATGCAAACCAGCATTCTGAAGAGGGCGGTGTACTGGCACGTGGAAATCACCCTTAATTTCTTTTTTTAAGTTCTCATGCTACAGATATGTTTGGAAGGTAAGGAATGATCTGAAATTGCATTCCAAAGGGGCTTTTCTTGAATGTGATGCACTGATTTTTGTTATGGTGTTTTCATATACTCATAGTGAATTGTTCACTGCTTCCTTAACTATTGTTTACAGAGAGACAGAGACTGAGAATCAGGTTAGTTCTCTTATAAGTGCTGTAGCAACCCAGTGGTTCAAGGAACCTGTGAGGGAGAATTTGGGGAGGGACCTGAAAGCAGATGTCTGAGACCAGTGTAAAGAATGTGTATCTGTATATAAATAATTTATCAAATAGTTTTCTCTCTGTGAGTGTGTGTTTAGTGTATTTAAAGCTGCTCATTTTCATTTTATTCAACCAAAAAAGTGTAGGAAGATATCTAATGAGCTTTTAGTGATGTTCAATATTGCTGTTAATAGGCATTATGCCCTGCAAATTCACTGCATGTTTGATGCTTGGCAAAATTAGCGTTTTCTGTAATATGCAGATTACAGGTAATAAAGCAATCTAGTGGTATTCCCGGCCCTTGCCTTAGTAAGAGAAGCAGTGAAACTGTAAATAGTTGATGTTCAGTATTTGCAAGTAAACATTTTTTCTATAGTTGTTCATTGATCTCAAGACACACACTTAGTTTGCAAGTACCAGATATCAGGATTTACAGCAGTGCAGCATTAGAGTACTTGAATGTTTAATACTGGAAAAATCAACATCGTTCTTGGACGCAGTTTTAACAGGAGAGGTTTGGGTATAGGGGTGGCAAGAAGCTTTTGCTATTGTTGTCAGACAAAATTTGTAATCCTAACAAAGAAGAACACGTTCTATTTCAGTGAAAACAGTTGACTTCGGTTATTCATATTTTTTCCTAATCAGAAAAAAAACATGAAGACTTTACAGCATAGTTTGTTTAAATCACCAATGATATTCTGCATATTTGTTCTTTTTTTATTCTTTTTTTTTATTTCCACATTTCTGTTGGGGGTCGGTTGACTTGAGGAGTTTCGATACACTTTATTAAATATTGCCTAGCCACCAGAAGAGCAGTTCAGTACATGATACAAGTTTTGGTTTTAGTTGCCCAGTAGCATTAACTGCCATGAATTGTGTCATGCACTCCTTGTCAAAAATGTTTTAAAAGAAGAGGTGATCTTTGTGAGCACATAGCGAGTTCTGCACTATTTACTTGTCAGTAGCTCCCTGGTGATAGTTTTGTTGAGACCTGCAGAATTTGAACAATAGTAGGTGTGAAAATTAACATGAATATATGGACTTGGGATGTATGAAGTTTCCAGTGCAAAATGTAACTTGTCTTGAGTAACACTGAATTGTTTGTGAAATCGTTAAGCAAGCAGGGCGGAGCCAACTATGCATTTTTCTGTCAAGTTATCAAACTGAAAATTCACTTGTTGAACCAAAACTGCATTGCTTCTGAAACTTAACAAATCTGATCCAGACCAACAGCAGATCAGACCAACTTAATCTGACATAGGTAGAATAAATAGGAATTTTGTCTTGGCCCTAAACATGTGCTGTTTCTTTGCAGGTTTTTGTATTCTTTGATGTCCACCAGATTTTTTTTTTTCAAATAATGTGTAAAACAGCATCACTACATTTTAAGCTATGGATTCTTTTGTATATTCTTTATTTATAACTGTGCCAAGTATTATTTTAATACTGTCGAGATCTTGATGTGTATTACATTGTGAACAAAAAAAATTCTGTAAAATGTTTAATAAATTAGCTCTCCTTACATAAATTAAATCTGTTAAATTTTGTAAGTTATTAATCAAATAAATATTGACTCTTAGATGCAGTGTTTGTCTTGACTTGGGATGTGATTTCATACAGTGTTGTTTCTGCCCAGTTTCAGAAGCCATACCATGAATAAATAGCTGTTGTCTTGCAGCTTATTTTAGTAAAGTCTTTCTGAAAGACACACAAGTGTGTTACAGATAGCATGCCCTGGTTCTGTACAGATGTGAGATCCTGTGAGCTACTATGCTGGGTTTTGGTAAAGTATACCTTTGTACTACCAGTTAGAGTTACCATTCACTAATTAGATATTCCTGTCTTTTTAGCAAAGCGTGCTGGCAAGGTAATGTTTCTTAAGGGCGAATTCCATCTAGGGAATGTTTCAGGTGGCCAAATGTATGTATTTAAGGACATTTGAGGTATTCTGAGGGTAAAAGAGACATCCACATAGGGCTAGGAGGTGTGACCAAGATGTGTGCTTCTAGGTAGCACCTGCAAGAGACGCACTACCTTCACTTTTCTGGTCCATGTTGTTTAAGTAGAAACAAGGTAACAGTTGGAATTTAATCAGGATATTTATAATCAGCAACATGTGTTAAAGTATAAGGCTAGGGCTTAAGAGCACACGTAAAGGGGGAAAAAAAGTCTGTTTTCTACTGAGTATGGTTTCAAGGTTGACATTGAGAATTGTTGGTGCTGTTCTCACCTTCCCCAAGCAGTGTTCCTGGTGAGGCTGTGTCCAGGCTCACCTCTGCTGACCACCCTTTGGCTTGTCCGGTAAAGAGCAGGGAAGGTACTTTTGAAAAAAAAAAAGACATTTGACCTTCTGTGCTGAAGGTCTCCATCCAAGATTTGCAGTGTTCCATCAGAGCAGTTGTTGTGCTTGGGAGGTATGAGTGGGCTCCTGATGATTTGAAAGCTGGTTCTTGAGTTTGTTTTACTTGGGAAGAAGCCTGCCCTCTGCATCCTCATTATGGCTTGATTAGAGTTCAGTGCCTTGACCTCCCATTGGCTGTCTTTAAGTAAAATCAGATGTTTTTGCTATGAAAGCAATGTCTGCAGTATGAGTAGCAGGAGCAAAGGTTTCTGCCCAGGCTTCCTAGGCTGTGCTGTTGCTTGCTTCCTCACTCCCATCTGAAATGTGTGCTGCTTCTGCCTATCTTTTCCAGTTCTGATCTTGCTCTCTCTGTGAACCGTACAAGCTCTTGAGTCGCATTTTGAGCTGGCTGTCTGTTTTTCCTCCTATCTATGTGGTTCCTTTGTAACCTGTTCAGAATGCTCTTTATGTATTATTTTGAGTAACATGTATTTTTCCAATTAGGCTTTTGGCTTCCCTTGCTTCTCTGCCTCACAGACCATGGTTGCTGGAAACTGCCTTAGACCACACTGGCACACTTGCTCACTTGCATAATGTTTTCCTGCAGCATTCCCAGTCTTGAGTGTGTTTCCATAAATTCACTTGTGAAGGGTTCTTCTTTTTTTTTTTAAACTAACTTCTGTTTGGCACAATGAAGGTTGAAACTGCCCCCTCCCCCCCCGCCCCAGATCACCACATGGACTGTAGCCACTAGGACAAAGCCTTTGCCTCCCCACAGCTGTGGTTGGCCCTTGCTGTGCAAATAGCATGGCCTTCACTGGAAGGGATGGAAAGACACTCCTACAACCTCCTGCTGGAGCTCACTACATGCTGCTCATGCGGCATGGTTTATGCTTTTAAGTGGCACTGATGCCCAGGTTTCATGTGCAGAGGAGCCTGAGCATGCCAGTGAAGGTCTGCTCTGGGACTAGATTTAAAAGAAAATGCAAAAATTAATAAAAATTGTGAAGCTACTCCAAGTGAATGCTTGCAGAAAAATTAGACAAGTTGCCTTGAACCAGATGACTTTTGCCTAGCTGTTTTAGGCTTAAGTACCTCTTTATCACATGAGGCCTCTGTGCTGGGCTTGTCCCATGTCTCCTGTTGAGAAGGTGGCTCCCATTTGCTTCACATGAAGTTCAAGTGTGGGTGCTGTGAGCTCAGGCCTTACAGGTGGAGGCTGCTCCAGCTGCTAAAAGAAGCCAAGCTCTTCTGTGAGCTTCCCACTCAAGATCTGGCTAGGGCAAAACAGTTGTCCCCTACTCATAGACCTTTACTGGCAGCAGTTCCTGAAGAGTTGGGTTAGCAGAGTGAAGGCCCTAGTTTGGCTTTCACCCACCTGCTGTGTTCACAGGGAGCAGAGCTACACTGCCTTCAATGCATTTAATTGCAATTACTCCTTGCCCATCAACTTCAGTTCAAGTCACTTTTTATACCAGGGCATTTGAAGACAGAATTTTCTTCTGCTCTGTTGCTGGGCTGCAGTTGCTTTGTCAGGTATTGTCCTCAGGCAACAACCCTTCACCATTTTCAGGGAGCTAAGAGTCCTAGCACTACCAAGAAAAGGTCAAAAGTTGCTCTTAGAGCCAAGTTGGATATGATAGTCCAGAGCTTGGCCAGCTGATGTGGAGGGATGGTATTAATCTGCAGCTGTCTTGGTGGAGTATTCTGCACAGTAAATTTGTGCATAAAGCACCTCAATACTGAAGCACATGCAACCCCACAGAATGTTATTGTGAAAATGGTTTGGTTTTCATTTACTGGGGACTCTGTGGCAGAGACAGGCAGCAGTTTAGGTACACTTACCTATCACTTTCAGAGCTATGTCACTGTACAGAGCAGTAGATTTACTACTGTGCAGTGAGCAGCTCGTTGCCTTGCACATGCATATAGAATGGTGTGATACTGGAGGACAGGCATTCACCTCTGAAGGCCACGACCCGTGCTCTGTGTCCAGCTTTCAGCAAAGGTCTGCACCAAGTCTGTAAGCATCACATCTCCACCCCTGAGGCACCCCAGCAACACTCCCCTCACCTTCACTGCTAACAAAGCAGGCAACACTGGGCTTCAGGATATATCAACAAGCAAAGCTTTATTGAATTGATACTCAGTATTAAAAGTGTTACAGTGTGATATACAAAGCAAAGAAAAAAGCAGTGTTTGTGTTTGATTTTTTTTTTTTAATCATCTGCAGAATGTATGCCCAAGCACTACAGTAACTAGTATCTGTTTCACAGTAGTTAGTAACATTTAGGAAACTCTCTTGTTCCTTCTAGCAGGATTTCTGCAGAGCCGTAAGGAGTTTTTAGCCCCCTCACTGGGCATGAACAAGGGCACCTGCTCCCTGGCCATACCCAAATCCCTTGGGGCCAAAGTTCTTTGCGTAACAACCTGCAAGAAAGATGAACATATAGTAGCTGAGTCTTCTGGCACGTTAATTGAGCACAACACTGTCTAGACTAAACCCCTCAGCTGCTTCCCCATAGTCACTAAAACATCCCCACAGGATGCAACACTTAAAAACCATTTTGTTAAGCTGCATTTACTGTCCTCACTGAACTCAGCAGCCAGGGCTGTTTGCTCCGTGTAGCTCCCAACCCGCTCTGTGAAGGCAACTCACATATTGGTTCTGTGGCTCGGTATCTGTTAAGGCATTTGTTGTCATCAAGCCACTGTATTTGATATCACATATGAAGTTTATATCCACAATATCATGCAAGAAGGCATGGCAGGATACTTGCTGGCTTGTTTCCTTACTCTGATCTGCTCTCTGACCCAGGCATATGGCACAGGCTGCTGCATCTCTCAGAATGGGATGTTTTGCTTGATGCAGATGTCAGCATCAACAGCTTCAGTAATATTTATTTCATTTTTCAGCTGTATTCCTATGACTTTCAGAGCACTTCCATCTTGACAAGAGCCTGAAAGTTTCTTATACCAGGACTAAATTAACCATCCGTCCTTGCAACTTATTACCTTGAATTGTAAACAAGTGACCTTTGTTTCTTTCCTCACCTTTACAATAGATTTCTCCCTCTTTTTCAGTTAGGGTTGTAGATTCTAGGCTTTTTCCACACTTGGCACATCGGAAGCAGTTTTTGTGCCATGGCTAAGTAAAAAAATAAAAAGCAGAAAGATAGTATAAAGACACATGATGCCTGAGTTGGTAAAACCCCCACATTAACTGGAGATATCTGCATCAGTATTGTTTATATATGACTGGTGCAATGAAAACCAGTTGAAGTGCACCAGTAGCAGACGAGCATCTGCATTTCTGTGAGTGGCCCAAAGCCCCAAATTCCACACAGCATCCTGCTCAGAGCAGCATTTGGAAAGATTTGGGCTTGCTCTGATCAATTCAGAGCAGATCTTGGCTCTCTGTAGCGAGTGAGTCAGACAGCTGGCAGCCTGACACACAGTTTGACATGGTATTTTCAGAGAACATTCCCTTTCTACTGAAACATTCAGCAGAAGCTGCATACTCCACAGGACTGTTCCCTCTGAGGGACAGGGCTTCTGCAGTCTGCTTCAAGTCTGGCATGAGATGATACTGACTCTACACCTTTGAAATCTAAGGTGATCACTCATCAAACTGCATTTCAAGTGTTTTTTGTTCCATTAACTTGATTGGTTTGACTGTTTGCAATGCTAAGAAATGCAATTTTAAGGTAACAGCCCGGCAGTTGGTTCCCTACTGGAACCCACATAGCACACCTTGCTCACTTTAAAGTCCACGTAGCAGGTACAAAACAGCACATGCAGTTCCTTACCTTTCCAGCTCCTATTACTTTCTCTGCTGCATAAACAGAATCACCACACCTTGAGCATTTCTCTGCCCCTCCAAACTTCTGAGCAAACTTTGAAGGGTTTGGATTTGTAGTAGGCCGGTGAGGAGAAGGTGTGCTGAAAGAAATAAGACATTTGTTGTCTCTACCCTTTTACTAAATGACCTCTTGTTCTTTTATCAACACGAACAGAGCAGCATCCAACACAGTACTTTTGCAAAACAGGAGGAGTAAGTTAGCAGCAAGGCTATCCAATTACACCCCATAGGGAGAAAAACCAAAACCACAACAACAAAAAGAGAAAGGCCATGCTTCAAAGGATAAAAAGAAGTTCCTGTAAAGGCTAGTTTTCTGAGGAACCTTCTCTGTTTCACTTATCTAGAAGTGCTGAATTATGCATCAGGACATGGATTTTTCACATAGTAAGCTGCAAATAATTCTGTTAAATTTCTGTCCACTGACCATAATCTGGAACCTGAATGGATCACTGAACCTGGCTGGCGAGCTTGCATCATATACAAGCTAAGCAATAATTTGGGAACTTGCATGAAGCAAGTTGTGAGGTATACCTCAGCTTCCTTCCACATGCTTTTGCTTTACAGCAAGAACTTAATCAGACTAGGAATGTTTACTATTTAATGGGCCTTTTGGCTTTGGCTACAATTAAGCACAAATGGTTCTTCATTTGCCAGTTAAAAATTCATTCTTCTGGTAGCCGCAAATTTCCAGCTGTCCAAATCCATGTCCAATGCTGAACATTCACATTTCCAACCTATTTAGGAGAGTGACTCGAGACTGGCAGTCACCTCTGTGGGCTCATGCAGAGCCATCAGCAGCTCTCTAATCCATGCCTAGCATTAGTGCATCCTTGCCTGCACTAACTCCACGTAGTCACCAGTGAGAGCTTTGTGTGGCGCAGGTTCAATGGCCTGCATTGAGCTAGAATGGGGTATTTTGCAGCATTCCTACTGATGAACTAAACAAAACCCAGCTTGAAAGACTCCTCTGAAAACAGTACTAAAGGACAAGGGTACCCCTGAACTCAGTTCACTCACCTCTCAGGCTTGATGCCTAGTCGCTCCCCCCTGTCCATGTTCAGTGTTCCTGCCCCTTGGCCATATCCGTAACCTTTCGGGCCATACTTTTTCCCATAGCAAGATTTGCAGTAAACTTCGGCATCGTGAATCGCTACGGTTGTGCTGTCCAAGTTTTTCCGGCAGACCACTGGAGGAAAAAAAAAGAGTTAAACTGCCTTAAGGGACCATTTCTATCAGCACGCATAGTAAGCCAAAAATCAAGTGAGAAGTGATGTTATGGGTTTCCCTGTCCACAATTCTTCTCACTGGGCAATGGGACCACCAGAGATTAGAGGGAGCAAGTTGCCATTTGAATTTGTGAATTATGCTTAGCTCTGTAAAGGGCTGTATTCCCTCCCACCTCTTCATGACCGTGACATTTAAAGCCTGGAAACTTGCTGTGGTTTGATGAACGAGGCTGCTCAGAAATCCAGAGAGGGCAGTCAGCAGTTTCCCTTGATAAATGCCATACAGCATGAAGCAAAAGCCTATCAGTACAGAAGAACCCCTGCACTGCCCTTTTTGCCAGGGTGGGGCTGGGGGAAAAAAAAACCACCTTCAAGGTTCCCCCCACCCTCATCCGCCTCAGTTCTGCTTCAGGGCTGAGCTGGGGCTGGTTCACAGCTGTCACCGGAGGGGCTGCGCTTTTCTGGCATTCCTACATTGTCCTTCAGCACAATGCAAACACTCTACTCAAGGTTACAGTAGAAGGGAGAACTATTTCCTTCTTAAGCCTCCTTTTGTATGCCAACTGCATGCTCTTTCCATCTGCAACAGCATTATGCCCGTGATAAAGAATTTGGGAAGAAAACAAAGAAATGGCCTTATGAATTTTTTTGTTTAAAAAGAATTTTAATGTCTTCAAAACACTGGGTGACCTTTGCTTATGGCATTCATTAGCTCCAAGGTTCTTTTTATAAGACACAAATATCCAATAAATAAATCAACTAATGCCTGTTTGTTAAGTCTACAGACTTAACCCCAACAGAACTATGCACTAAGGAAAAGCGTATATTCAGACACAGTAGAGCCATTGTTTGACTGTAAGTTCCAGGTTTCTTTTAATAGTAACTCCCATAAAAGGCTGAAAATGAGGCAGCCAAGACATCTAATCTTTGGTTTTTGTGACCACAGTAGAGCTAAGGGAAAGGAGCATAGGTGTGCCGAGACTTGCAGTGCCAGCACAGCGTGCTGACATTGGGCAGCAGACTAACTGTGAACTTGCCTGGGGGGCCAGTTGTAACTGCAGCTTAGATGAAGAGGACTAAACCCGAGTTCTGCCCACATGTATTAATCACCAGCAAGTGGGGCAAAACAGTATCTCATGTTTGCAATAAGGTAAAATTCTCTGATTCAGACAGACAGGCTGTCTGTTTGCAAAGTAGGAGCCTCTGATTCACAGGGGCCCTTTGTTCCCTTCGTCTAAGCAGAGGTCTTTTCAGCAGAGAAAGCGATTTTCAATGCCTCGCTGGGCTTGTTGGTTGGACTGGAAAATAATGCTTTGGACTCCTTTCATCTGAAATAAACCACAGGCTCCTGTGCCAAGAAAGTTTAGGCTTTTGGCTGTGCTAAAGCATCAACAACTCATCTGTGCTTAGGCATGCTGGTGTCCTGGTCTGTGCAGGACTCCAGGGCAGCAGTTTGATAACTGTTCCTTCAGCTACTGCCAGCCCCAAGACCACCAGCAGAAGCCCAGCTGAACTCAGAACAGTGCAAATGGAGCTCTGCCACTGGGCTTTTTCTTTTGCATGAGCAACACTTAAGCCAGGTTTCCAACCTAAAGAACCCTCAGACTCCTGAGGAAAAGGCTGGCAAGAGTGCAAATGGAAGAGAAAAATCATGATGTGCTCTGAGAGGTGCATCCCACTCCTTACACTGGATAGGCTGGATAACACCTCTCCAGGAGACAAGCTCTGCCTTTGGGATGCCAGGCCCAGGAAGCATGTGGAGAAGCATGTGTCCAGTTCTGGGCCCCTCAGTTCAGGAAGGATATTGAGGTGCTGGAGCAGGTCCAGAGAAGAGCAACCAGGCTGGTGAAGGGACTTGAGCACAAGTCCTGTGAGGAGACGCTGAGGGAGCTGGGATTGTTTAGCCTGGAGAAGAGGAGGCTCAGGAGTGACCTCATCACTCTCTACAACTCCCTGAGAGGAGGTTGTAGCCAGGTGGGCGTCGGTCTCTTCTCCCAGGCAATCAGCAGTAGGACAAGAGGGCATGGGCTTAAGCTCTGCCAGGGGAGGTTTAGGTTGGATATTAGAAAGAAGTTCTTTACAGAGCGAGTGATCAGGCACTGGAATGGGCTGCCCAGAGAGGTGGTGGATTCACCATCCCTGGAGGTTTTTAAGACGAGGCTGGATGTGGCACTGAGTGCCATGATCTAGTAATCACAGTGGGGTTGGATCAAGGGTTGGACTTGATGATCTCAGAGGTCTCTTCCAACCCAATTAATTCTATGATTCTGTGAAACAGGAATTCAGCTTTGTTTATCGCATGTTGAGCTATCTCTGGCCACTGCCATCCCCATCGTGTGTGCCACCTGAGCCTGGTATATCTCCTGTGGACCAGCACCTTGCTGCTGTGATCCCCCCAGCTATGCCAGCAAAGATTTTGGAGGGGAATACTTACTGCAGAGGAAGCAGCACCGGTGGAAGCTCCTCCCATCACACTGCACCTCCTCAGCATGGTAGACGGTGCGGCCACAGGCACCACATTTGTTGCCACCTCCCCAGTTTGGCATGGTGGTTCTGTGTGCACAGCCAGGCATGAAGGGAGAAGGGGAAAGGTTTGTTAAACACAGTGTCCTCCACCACCCTGGCCCCAGGACTGTTGGTGTAACAGGCTCCTTTAAACCAGATCTGCAAAGTTAATGTCCCAGAGCACAACCCTGAGATTTCACCAACTGTTTAAAAACGTGACCTTCCACTGCATGAGAAGTTTTTGGGATTAACTCAACTTCCCAGCTCTTCAGATCCCAGACCAGACTTAAAGGCTTAGGCAGGCTCTCTACAGCTATTTGTAAGAGCAGATGAACTGGCAAGGGGAACAGAGACTGCTGCTGCTGAACAGCAAGAAAAACCGAGACACAGTCTTCACGGGATGTGTCCTCTGTCCCTGCCTGTGGATTTTGAAAGTTACATAAATTGGATATGCACAAATTACAGTTTCATGCACAAGGGCTTTACTGTACCTTGAACGAATGCCCCCCAGACAGATATAATTTCAGTTTCTATGCTTCATTAATGCTGGGCCTCTCATCTGATAGAAGCAAACCAATCGTGCCAACAATGGCATTTTGTTTTACTGCAGGGCCTGTCATTTGGGATGTGGTACAAGCCAAAGTTCACCTCACTGGAAAACCATTTATTAGAGCTGTAGGAACATTGTGAACTCCTTTGAGATCACACCTGCACTTCAAAGAAGTTTAAGGGAGATTATTTCCCAGGGACTCACTGCTATTACATGAACTGTACCTTTACCAGACAGGTGCAGAAACCAAACCAAAGTGCTCAAGGAGCCACAGCTGTTTTAAAAGGAAGTAAAACTCCCTCTCACACATTAAATGTTACTTGGAATGGACACTAATGGCTGGTGAGGAGGGACAGGCACCTCACCCATCGTGTGAACCGAGTCTCCTGCATAAAGCCAGAAGCAGTGACTGTCCCATCTCAAGCTGAGCTGGCCCCTCCCCAGCTCCCCTGCACTCCCAACATCACCACCAGCCGCTTCCACCCTGCTCGACTGGCAGCTCCTCCTGCTCCTCCCGTTAACTGTCGGGGTTAAAGTACCAAAGCCAAGCACAGCCCATCACCTTCAGCTTTTCTGGGGTTTTCCTTCTCCTGCCACCACCATGAGATAAGTCTTTAACAAACAAAGTTATCTCCTAGTCGTCCTTGAACTGCCCTTAACTTGTGACTGCTGGGTAATGCTGGTTTACTCTCCTGCAGCGCACCACCAAAGGACCACCTCTCTCAAGCACAGAGGCCAACAGCAGCCAGAGACAGGGTTACCGATTCAGCAAGCTTAACCCAGTGGGGGAGTCACCCCCACTGTTCTGTCCTGATCCTTGTTTCAGAGAAGGTTTCTGGAAGAGGACCACAGGTTTGCCCACTGGAAGCCCAGAGGGCATCTCCTGCCACCCTACCCCAGCAGCACCACCATTCCCTCCTGCAGACTCCCCAGAGCAGCACTGTAGGACAGGTCAACTATCAGGAAGGGAGGGAGGGAAGGAATTTGTTGAGAGCTTCTGACATTCCTTTGGAAAACTCACCTCTAGAAGCTCTCCTGTGTTGGCCAGACAGGGAGAAGATACACACAACAGCATCCACACACAATGCCCACAACCTGCTGCCTGGTGTCAGCTTTGCTGCTCGTCCCTCTGAGCCAGGAGCAGAGGACTACCAATCTCCAGTTGTCCCACTGGCCGACAGAGAGGAACTGTAAGCTCCACCACAGGGATCCAGACAGGAGCACTTTGCTTCAAGATTCCCTTTCTTTAAGGGGCTCTTCTCACCAAAGTGTGGGGCAGGCCTCAGTGCAGAGCAAGGCACCTCGAGTTCCTCAGGCAAGGTAGATCAGACTCACAAATCACAACTGAGAGCAGCCGTTTCAGATGAGTTACGTGACCCATATTACTTGGTAAAACAAGCCTCCTGTCCAAGCAGCGTGACCAGCAGTTCAGCAGTTTTTGGGACGCAGGGTAGGTTGTGTGGTTGCCAAGACATGCTGCCAGGTAGCTGCTACAAGACCTTTGTCCAAGACAAGCAGACAGCCATTCATGGCATGTGGGAAAATACGATTAGTTTATTAACCTAAATTGGGGCATCTTAGGTACATTCCTAAGCAATAGCTTAGGAAACTTCCTCAGAGTGGCTGAGCAGTGCCATTTGCACACTGACACCAATTACTGAGATAGCCCTTTGTTTAATACTTCCACAGGATTAGCATCATTACTGCTCCATGGTTTAGCACTAATACCCTGACCGAGCTCATAAAATTAGTTTTATGACATTTCCCACTTTGCTTTTGTCATTCTTGGCACAACTGTAGGGTCTAAAAATGAAGATTCCATTTCTTTTATTCAAGTGCTTGGCTGTGCTACTGCACAGCAGCTGACATCAATCATGGCAAAGAACGTCCTCAGTTAAAGTGAATATAGGCTGCACAAAGCTTTGGAAAAGGAATGCATGGACTGGAAAAAAAAAAAAAAAAAGAAGAAAAAAAAAGGAGAAGAGATTCCTTTTCACTCTGTATGCTTTCCAAAATGTAAATGGCATTTGGTACAAGAACTACTTCTGTCTTGTCCTCTCACCATCTCCACTCATGTTCTTTTGTGCATTTACATGAACCCAAATAATGTAAACCATTTTTTTTAGCAAACAATAGTTCTCATGCACATTAGAGCCAAGGACCTGAATCAGGTTTCCAGCTTTGTCCCAGATTTCCGATGTAATACTGGGCAACTCAGGGTGCAGCTCCACCCTTTCTTCCCAAGGGAGACAAAATAATAGACGATCCAGCAACCATTAGCTGACTCAAATTGTCTGATAAGGACTCTGAGAATCCATTAAATGAAGAACAAAAAAGAACTGAAGTAATTACTTCAAGGTGACCATAGTGTCTTCCACAGGGAAGGTATTTCCATTTAGCCTCCCCGTGATGTTCCCACGACAGCTTGCATGGGAAATGGCAATATTTTCTCAATTCCCCAACAGCAAGAGCTGCCCTTACAGCAGCGGTGCCCAGGAGGCACCTTGGGGCAACAGGGCTGGTGACTTGAAGCAGCTCTGCCGCAGGACAGTGCACAAGCCTGTCCCCCTGCCCACAGGTGACTCTCTCAGCACCATCTTGGAGCCTCACACTGCCCGGATCTCCTTCCAGAGCTCCACAGGTAGCAGTTTCAGAACTCATATGCTGCCTTAAGCCTTCCTTGCTCCCTCAAAACTTCTTGGCTAGTTCAGGCAGGCCTCTGGGGAGCTCAAGAGCAGTAATTAAGCATCCAAGTGACCTCAGTACCAGCACCAACTATTCTGACTGTCGGCTGCAGGTTTGTTGGCAGCTATTTGAACCCAGCCAAGCGGGGAGCACGCTATTCGGGCAAACCACGGCAGCCGCCAGGTCCTTTCCAGCCCGTTTGTTAACAGCAGCTCTAAACGCAAGAGGCCTAAGCCATCCCAAGACAGACGCTGAGGAATTCCGGGCTATTCCGTTATCCTGGACGGCTTTTTCGGCGGCCAGCCGGCGAAGCCCTGTGCGTGGCAGCTTAATCATTACAGCAAGCCCAGCGGCACGGACGGGGTGAGCATCGCCCCCCGCTACCCCTGCCGCCGGAGCCGAGTCCCGTCGTGCCGCTCACCCACCCCGACCCGGCCCGGCCCGGCCTTGCCCTGCCCCGGCAGAGGGTCTGGCCCAGCCCCTGCACCCCCCGCCCTCCCGCTGCCAGCCCCGCACTCACCGCAGGGCTCCGCTCGACGCGTCTCAGCCCAGCACGGCCCCGCAGTGCCTTAAAGAGCCGGGGCGGAGCCTTGTGGGCCCCGGCCCGGCCCCGCCGCCCGCCCCCGGCCCGGCCCGGGCCCCGGGGGCAGCGCCGCCCTCGGCCCCACGGCCGGGGCATCCGAGAGTGGGGGCTCGCAAGGGTTCGCCCCTGCCGAGGCCACCCCCAGGACGTCCAAGCTGCTGCCTCGGACTGCAGGACCCCAGCCTGTGGTTTTATCCATTTTTAGGATTTTGATTTACATTTTAAACTTCTTGCAGGCACCGTGGCCGCGTTTCCCCGGGGCGCGGGGAAGGCGTGCAGGGCTCGGAAAGAGCCTTACCTGGACGTGAGGAGCGGGCTGGGGCGGGAGCAGGTGCCCGGGCTGTGGGAGCCTCGCACTGCAAGTCGGCACTGCAGCTCCCGCTGAACCACTGATCCAGCGGGGACTCATTAGGAAGGGCCTTTAATAGTTTTCACAGAAGGCTGGCAATTAGTGCTGTCCACACCAGCCAGCTCCCGCTGGAGAGAACAGCGCAGGGCTTGAGCTGCTTTTTAAAAGCGTCCTCATCTCCCAGTGTCCCAAGGCTGTTGTGTGCTGACTCGATTATGCGCGGGGCTCCCTGTGTCTAGAGGGAGATGCAGGTTTATCCCAATACCAAATCATCTACTCATTGACTGTAGGAGTGCCAGGTTGTTCTCTTTCAGCAGCAGGAGTTGCCTCCTCAGCACCTCACAAAAAACCTCTTCAGTGCAAGCACTGTACAGCGAGATGGGCTGACAGCAGGTTGGGTGTGAAATCTGTGCTGTAGGGCTGCTGGTGCAGGCAGCTGGGTGACATTCAACCTGCCTTGTCCAGTGACTGGTATATGGGGCCAAACTGCCTGTGCTGTGAGACTAAACGTTACCTCCATGAAAAAGATTAGCTGTCCTCTCCCTCTGAAATGTTCTTCCAGCGTGCTGCAGCCTGTGTGCTGGCAGCTGCAACTCACTGAGGTTTTTTCCTTCCTGCTTATAATTTTCTATTTGCAATGAATGGTGAATGACCAGACTGTGCATGATTTATGTGCATCCTGGAGCCGTACTCCATAAGTGAAGCCAGTATTGGTTCCTGTGGAACAAGGTGGTGCTCGCTGTGAGCAAGACCAAGAGCCTGACCTCAAGCATCATAGCAACAATTTTAGTCTAGGTTTTGAGGGAAGCGAGCCCTATGAAAAGCAGAAGTATTAGCAATAGTTTCTTGAATTGGAGAGAGAGGATCTCTTGCAGTCAGACAAATAAGAGGCGTATGAGTCACAGCAGGCTGACTCCATTTATTGCATGAAAGGCCTGTGCTCTCTTGTCCAACCTGTCCTGCACCCAGCTCTGCTGGAACTGCATGTGATGATGCTGTTATTTACCATGTTCCCTCAGGTAGCCTCCAAAGCTATTAGATTTACCCTTTTGACAGTGTTTCCTACAGACTATAAAAAATAAACAGCAGAGATCGTAAAGGGAAGGGAGAAGCATTGCAGTCCTAGTGAGGACTGACTGTGCACAAAAAAAGGAAATTCTCACTATGACTACGGGGCCATGCTGGTAGGAAATAAAACAAACTTCAGCGTTGAGGCACTGCTGAGTGAGCTAGAAGACAATCTGACATCCAGTATTTATTTTTCTCATGTTTAGTACTTTGTCAGAAACAGATTAACTGTGAGGTTTGGACATAAATATATAATTAAGTCCATTACTATAGGAACAATAATAAGGAATAAATTACTACAGCACTTGGGAATAATACCTAGTAACAAAGGAAAACAAAACCAAGAATGAAAACTTTCACCACATACTTTATTTTTATTGTTAAGGACTATTTCTATCCATACATTTTATAAATATAAGTATGCATGTGTATATCTATTATCTATAATCTCTAAATACAGAGTTATTTTATCTGTAAGCATAGTTTTTCTATCTACTCAGCAGATCTCTTCTTCTGTCTGTCTTTCCTGAGAGCAAAGTTCAGAATTTATTTAAGATAAAGCCTGAATCCAGCCCTGCTGCATTCTTCCTTGCTGTCCTGCAGTCCTTCGTCCTGTCACCCTGAACATCCCTGCCATTGACCGAGCAGCCCCACTACCCACTTCACCCTCCTTGCCATCCTCCTGACCCTATCCTTCCCTGTGTTGCTGCCTGACACCTGCCCTAAATTCCTTTCTGACTTTTTTTGCCTAAAATCTCAGATGATGCCTCTTCTCACTGGCCTGGGGAGGAGCTCCCACCTAACCACTGTGCCAGGCCCCTGTAGGCAGCTGGGCTCCTGCAGCCTGCCAGCTTTTTGTCTGGCTTCTGCCAGAGCTCAGCAAATTAGAATTAAGACAGTTTGTTTCTAAGAAACAGTGTTCAAATGTATTAGCAGCTCCCGTTAATTTCCCCTGCTGATTTGGCAGCTCTATGACCCGGGGTGTTTGCTTCTCTGTTTTTCTGCTTCCTTGGCTATGGGAAAGCCCAGAGGCTCTACACAAAACTAGTTCTCCCTTCACTTGTAAAAGTGACACAAAGTACGTTCATCATCTCAGAACAAAATTCTCAAGGTTTTAGCTATGCCATAATTTTATGCAAAAGTTGTTTTCCATGTTTCGGAGAGCTGAGTAAATTGTCAGCTTGTCTGACCTAGTTACTTTTCAAAAGACTTGTCACACATCAGTTATTCAGGCCTTTTACAGCCACTAAGTACCTTCCACTCACCTGGGATTATCTTATCCTCGTTTGATCTTGTAAGCATAGTCCCATGTCTGCTTGTGGCAGAGTCAGTCTGCTTGCTCTGCTGATAATCCTTGCTATCATTTTATGAAAGTTTATTCTGGTTAGTTTAGATTTTACTTTGCAGGGGCTCTAGTCATAGTTTGACACTGTTTTTGTCAGACCTAGTTTTACCAAATGCTGCTACAATTTATAGAGCTCCCTTAATTATGCTTGTGGAAGAGCATAATTTGAACTATTTTTCCTATCAGGAGAGGTGTTTTGAAGCTAGTGTTAGAGTTTATTGTTTACCAGCCTGCAAGGTAAACCACCTTGCAGTGGTTGCCATGGTACTTGGTTAATTTCTTACTGGCCATCCCTCTAACTAATAAAAGGGATTTTCAAGTTACTTGTATGCAATATCAACTAGTGAAAAATTCATTTGTGCCCAGCATTTCCCAGATTTGCCCTATCCTAGAAGGGAATATGTTGTTTAGCTAATTTCCTTACCTAAACATTTATGCATCTCAAGAGTGCTATACATTTATTCTACTATAAATATGATAATGATAAATCAATGAAATTTGCTCAAGTTAATGAAAATACAGCAGACAATTCTAGAGTTTACCAGAGCTTTGATTTTTTTTTTTTTTAAATCAGCTCTTTAAA